CCAGGGGCGCGGGTGAGCGGGGCGGCAGAGCTGGGGGGAGGGGGTGGTGCCGTGGTGAAGTCAGGGGCGCGCGGGTGAGCCCACGGGCGCGGGTGAGCGGGACAGTCGTCTGCGGGTGAGCGCGGGGGACAAGGGTGCACTGCGCGGCGGGGCGAGGGGAGAGCCGCTGGTGCGGGTTAGCGGGGTAGTGGGGACCGGGGTGAGCGGGAAAGCCCGGCGCAGGTGAGCGACGGTCCGGGCTACGGGGCCTGGGGTGGGCCGCGTGGGCAGAGCCGGGAGGTTGCGGGAGGGACCCAAAGGAGCGAGCACCCATCGTGCGTCCCTGACCCCTTCCAGGACTCTGCGGGGCCCCTGACCCTAGACTTTGCCAAATCAGGAACGCTACCCGGAGGCCTGTCGGGGAACTGGGAAAGGAACGTGCCATTTTTGCTCCTCGCAAAGAATTTTTAACAGAGCCAGTAAGGAATAACCCAAGCCGGGCTGGAGGACTGAGAATCCAGTAGAAAACTGGTGTCCTATGACTTGGCGGACAGGTGGGAAATTGGAGGCCTGATTTGTCGATGCCTGCAAAGGTTTCCCTGTTGCCTGACCATAAGAATCCTGTAAACCTGTATGGGTCCACAGACATGTCCTCTTATTCTCTCTCTCTGACCACATTGGTCTCATTGCTGTTTTAGGCTCCAGACAAGCACACACCTGCCACAGGGCCTTTGCACTGTCTCTTATCTGCTTCCTGGAAAGCTCCTCCCCTAACATCTGCATGGACAAGTTGCTAGCTATACTTAGCACTTCTTCCATTCTCACTTTATTAGAGGTCCCCCCGGGAACAGACTGCATATAAAAGAACCCCTTCCCTTTTCCTTAGCTGTCCCCCTTAAAGCTAGTAAGTTCATAAGAGCAGGTGAAATAACCCTGGCACTCGTGCACAGTAGGTGCTCATTAAATATTTGTTAAATGAGTAGGTGTGCTTAAATTCTGTTTTGAATTTCAAAATCATGAGGCTACTCATTGCCAAGGTAGAGTGGCGGGCTCCATGAGAGAGTACTAGTAGACTCTTCACCATCAAAGAAAGCTGTGTTGATTGTTACAGATGAGTGGGAATTGCCTGGTAGAGAGAGGTGCTGATCCTGAATTCTGAGCAGAGTGGAAAGCATGTGATCAGTCACCAAAGCAAGAAAGATCTGGAAATATTTTGCTATTCATTCATTACTGAGCCTCTTGTAAAGCTGGTGTCTTCATGTTCTTGTAGATAGCTCATGGGCCTTTTGGAAGACAGTTAAATAAGCAATGGCATGAAGGGGAAGAAGGCTGTGATAGAGAACTTAGCCATGTCCTCCTCTAGGGTACCTAGAAAGTGCCCTTTCAACTGAGATCTCTAGGAAATAGGAGTTAACTAGGCAGACACAACAGAAGTGGTAGGGTCAAGACCCTTGAGGGCATGTTGGGGAGAAAGCAGCTGGGCATAGTGTTGTAGGTGTTCTTCTGAGGATTATCTTGGTGTAAGTGGACTTTATCATGGAAAGCATAGAGGCAGTTACTAAGGGAGTGAGTGTGATAGAGTGGAGAGTTCTGAACATTGAGCCCTGGGACACAAGAATATTGAAAAGAACGATAAAAAGGAGCCAGAAAAAGACTAAGATGGAACAGCTTGTGAGAAAGGAGGAAAACCAGGAGAGTGTGGTGTCTTAAGTGCAAGCTAAGAGAGGGACAGCAGGGAGAGAGTCCCAGTCCTGGGCCAGAATTGTTTTCTCTTTCCCAGCCCTTGTCTTCTGCTGCATCCTTGTTCCACCAGACCCTCCACCAAGCCAAGAATCTTCCTACCATGCTCCCCTCTTTGTATGCATTGGCTGGGAAGTGCTGGAGCAGTGCTGTATGTCAGGCATCTGCTTTGTTCAATGCAGATGTCAGTTGGAATGGAAAACCCAGAGCCCTGCAACAAACCGAGTCCCCACGAACAATGCAAGTTTTAGTCAGTGAGTAAAGGTGACAGCACACTGAGGAAAGAAATCCTTTTATAAAGCTTCTTAAAATAAAGATCTTCCAGAAGCCACCTGCAGTTTTTTAATTGACCAGGAAATACTCCCTTCCTCTAAATCCATAGAATCATGTTGGTATATTGTGTTGGGATTCACACTTACTGATAAATATCTGAAATTTTAAAATTAAAAAAAAAAAAGAACAAAAGGGAGAAGGGAATGAGCAGTGATGTCCAGTGACAATTCTGTCAAGTAGACATGGACAGAGGCTAGACTTAAAAATGGGGAAGTCATAGGGAACCTGACAAGAATTTTGATCCTGAGGGGAGGATGAAGGGGGTACAGGGGAAAAGGGGAAGATAACACTGGACTGATACTTTTTAGCGATTACAATGTAGCTATTACTTTTAAAATGGAAAATACACATTTTGGTGAGGAGATGGGGAAAGGAGAATCCTTGTGCATTGCTGGAGGGTGGTAAATACAGTGCATGCACATACTATCAGCCTTTTTCTCCTAACTCTCCTGCAGCCTTTTCTCCTCAGCATAATTCTAATTCTCCTCCAGCCTTTTTAGATAAAAAGTTTGTCCCAGCAGAAGGACAAACTTGCACTTGACCCTCAGTGGAAGCCAAAAGTAGAACTTAAAGAGAGGAATCCCATTCCTTTTTAGGCCCATTAAGTTTTGAAAGTAGAATATTTTGGAGATATCAGCTTGATTGGGAAGTCTATGAAGGAGAAAGAAAGATTTTCTTAAAAACGTTTTCTCTGCATTTATGTAGAGGTTTAAAACAAGGCTACCAGGAGATATTTGCTATGTTACCATTTTGCCTCCTAAACTGGATTGGGAAATAGTACCTGTGAGTGTCACTTCTTTCACACATCTGTCATAGATTAGTGGAAGAAGAAATGGATGACAATACTCCAGGTTTCTACATAGCAGAACTTAATACATACCGTCAGAAGAACAACGTAAAAGAATTTCAGTACTTTGAACTGTCAAAGACAGGACCTCCACATGATGCAAGGTGAGTTGTATAAAAAACAAGGACATGTCCCCATAAAATATAGACTGGGAGAATGGCAACTCTGGGGTATTTTTAAAATCAGTACTTTCGCTCTGGAGCAGATTTGCCAGAGTTCTGTGAGATTCCACTTGGCATAAAGTGGGAACTTCAGAGACCTGCAGACAGCAAATAGGAGATACGTCTTCCCTTCCTTCAAGATTATATGTAATCTTGCTTTTGGGGGGGCGACTGCTTAACTCTGTATTAAAATAAATTACAACCTTCAAAGGTAGTCATGGAAGGCAGTGGTGATGGGAGTATTTGCATATGCTTTATCATATTTTGTGAATTTTTTTTGTAATCAGGTTTAAAGTTCAAGTTATTATAAATGGTAGAAAATTTCCAGTAGCAGAAGGTAAATCAAAGAAGGAAGCAAAAAACGCTGCGGCCAAACTTGCTCTTAAGACTCTTAATGATGAAAATAAGGTAATTGCCTTTTCTTCCCCTACTAGAAGGAAATTCACAAATATTTTATATTGTTTTGTGAGGTGTTACCACATATTACCTTCAGATTTTAGTTCATTCTTTTTTACTGTAGAACCCTGAGTGACAGGTACATCGAGGAAATAGCAAAGCTCAAGAATACCTAGCTAGAGGATCACAGCACTGATATACTCTAACATTAAACACATGTCCAAGGAAGCAGTGAGAAATGAGCTTACGGGTTCAGGCAAAAGTCCCTCCAACTGAGAGAGTGGAATACCGAAGGGCTTAAGCATGACAGTGATTGCGAGGAGAATGATGTATAGAGGACTGCTGATGAAGAACCAGCATACTAATCGGTGTCCCTGAAGATATCTGAGAACAGAAGGGAAGGTACAGAAAAACGATCTGAAGAGAGTTCACTAGAGAATGTTTCTGAAATAAAGAACTGACTACAGGTTAAAACAACTCAATAGATACAGAAAAATACAAAACTGTCAAGAACATTAGTCCTTGTAAAAATACTGAATTCTGGCCCTCCCTGGTGGCGCAGCGTGTTTAAAGCACAGCACTAAGAAGCTTAAGCCACTTCTGCATGAGTTCGATTCCCGCCTGCCCTGGAGGTGACCACATGGCGCGGCAGACCTCTCCCGACCCGCCCGCTGCTCCCCTCAGCAGTGTACTTCGTAGATCTGCCTGTTCTGCTTCCCACCCTGTCCCTGGTGAATCCTCTCATCCTCCGCATCTCTGGCCTGTACCCCAGTTCTGTATGAATAAATAAATAAATCTTTAAAAAAAAGAAAAAAAATACTGAACTCTAAGGAAGAAGAAAGAATCATACAATGGAAGGGAATTATATGATATGTGAAAAGAAAACTAATGCTGAACACAGCAGTGGAGCAATGGCTATAAGTTGAGACAAGAAGTTATTTCATTTATTATGGTACAGAAGAGGAGTATTCTCAGATATTGAAATTTTGCTTTCCTATTTACTTGAAGATGTTAACTTTGGCTAAAAGAAAAGGAAAATTCAGGCAAAGCCACAAACTGATAAGTTATTAATGAATCAGTAAACCAAGTCAAGAAGTTAGGGGAAGAAAATAGACTACCTCCATTTCCCCCCATAGCAGAAGGGAAATAATGATAAGAAAAGAAATTAATGTAAACGAAAACAAAGAAGTAGTAGTAAAGGTTAGAAGGTAGTTCTTTGACAAGATTAATAAAGTAGGAAAACGTTCAACAAGCTTTTGTCAGATTAAAATTTTAAAAAGTGAGATGATAGGCCCTCCCTGGTGGCGCAGCGGGTTAAAGCACTGCACTAAGAAACTAAAGAGTCGCTTCCGCATGAGTTTGATTCCCGCCTGCCCCGGAGGTGACCACATGGCGTGGCAGACCTCTCCTGACCCGCCCGCTGCTCCCCTCAGCAGTGTTGATCATGTATTCAATATATATGCTTAATTTGAACAACTGTTATGTGGCTGGCATTATGAAAAAGGCAATGATGATAGGCATATTTTATATTTGAGATGCTATATACATACTGTTTAGCAACTTCTTGAGCATATTTTGGCAGTTGTAACTAAGAAAGTGAGAAATG